AAAGAATCAAAACAACGAAGATGATGACAACAACACTACACACACACACACACAAACTTCCTTGCAACATACAGTACTTGCCTCATGCCTTGAAATCAGGAACCTAGTGGTTACCTAGTGGCTCCATCTTTTCCTCACAGTTTTAAGATTTCAAGTAATCTACCCTAAGCTGTAAATTGAAAGTGCCAGAGTCTTAATCCTTTGGGAAAAAAAGAAAAGAAAGGCGATTTCATCACAACCACAGTCAGACCTTATAAGTGGTCTGCTTTTCAAAGGACTCCTCAGGCATGTCTTTGGCCCTCCTCCACTAAGAAAGCCTTCTCTGTGTGCTCTGTATTTTAGATGACTGTTTGTAATGTGTAAGGAACAGAGTTGTTTACTTCTTAGAATCCCATGGATGTCTAAAAAGATGACTGAGATTTGCAAAACAACAAAGTGCCACCTTTCTGTTGCTTTGAAAACATAGTTGTCAGGTGATAAAAGAATACCATTCATTCCTGATCAGAATCTTTGTCTTTGGTTATAGAGTAGATCGTACTGACAGAACTATATGTAATAATATTGACAATCAGTATCAGTTTGATTTCAGGGTGGTAAATTCAGATAAGATGGCTCCTGTGAAGACTGTGTTCCATGCCACCCCCGTCTGGCACTATCTGCTTCCAACCCAGGCACCAGCCACATTTAACTGCCGGGCTCCCTCACCTCTAGTCCACAGTGATGCTGACTAACCCCATCTCTCCCCTAATGCCCGGCACTTGCCCTTGAATATATATCAAATGTCTCAACTGCCCTTGCATAGCCTGACTTGAGATTACAGATCTGTTGTTTTCCTACCCCACCTGCTAAAGCAGACTTGCTTTCAGCTTTTGTAGTTCACTCACCCACCCCGACCACTTGTTTACTTGTAGTCGTCATATTAGCCATCTTCACTGGCTGCAATCCTACCTAGAATGGAGGATTCCCGTCTCACATGGTTTCTCGGGCCCCTCAGGGATGAAGTTATTGTGAAGGCCCCTCACTGCTGCTGGTGTGCCCAGGCCAGAAGAGAAGTCTCACTTCTGAAGTCCCCTTCTGAACTGCAGGTCAAGCACCCACCCTTTTGGGGTTTGGAGCCCTTGACCTACAGAGGCTCCCAAAGTTCAGGCAGCAGGTTTGCAGATTAAGCCGCCCAGGCATTTTCTCTGAGCCAAGAAGCAAAACAACTCTTTAGCAAGTGCTCGTGATTTCCAGCTATTTATTTTCTCACAGCTGTAGTCCAGAAAATAACCTAGACAACAAAGAACAGGCAAAGAGATATTTTATGAAGAAATGCCAATGTGAGTTCCAAGTTTTATTTTGGTGGTTTTAGGAGCTTCGTCGGGTGAAAAAAAAATTAAATGGACCTCCATTTAAAATGCTCTTATAAAACTCATTTAACAAATATTAATGTAAATGGAATACTATTAAGCTATGAAAGAAAGATAAAATCTTACCATTTGTGACAATGTGGCTGGAACTGGAAGAAATAATGATAAGTGAAATAAGTCCAAACAAGAAGGACAAACACCAGATAATGTCACTCCTATGTGGAATATGAAAAAAAACTAAGCAAAGGAATAGTCAAAAGATATAATAAACTCTTGGATTCTGACATCAGTATTGAGGTTACCAGAGGTGTGGGGGCAGGAGGGTGGGAGCAAAGTGTGGAGGCAATCAGTGGACTGTGGTGCAGGGTTATTGGTACTTTGATGGTGGGTGTGGTGTGGTAACACACATTTGATGAAGTGTGAACCTGTACTCCTAAAACATATACAGTGTTGAAAACCAGTGCCTAGATCAATTTGTTTACAACTCAGTGTAAAGCATTTTTTAACAAAGATCAAAAAAGGCAAATATTCTTAATGGCCTACTACTTTGATTGCAGAAATATATTAGCTATATCTATCGGTTATTATTTAGCCACTGGATTCAACTACTATAAGTGTGAAAGTTTGGAAATACTGAGTGAGTAAATGGAGAAAAATCCATCTTGGATTGTGTAAAAAAAGGAGGTACACAAATATAAGTAATCAGATATTATACTTGAAATAGTCATTGGAACTAGGGATATACAGAAAATTAATAGAATTAATGACTGGGAACAAATTAGCCACTGGGGACAAATAGAATTCCTTAATAATGATAAAATAATACATATTCTTCTATTTTAAACTACTTTCCTACAACACTAATGCGAATAGTTTACAAAAAAAGGAGATTGGGCTTTCTTTTTTTATTCTTCTATGTCCTTCTGAGGCAAATGTGAGTAAATAACACAAATTTCAGAGAGCACCCACAGAAAAGAGAAAAAAGGAAAAAAACTGAATGTAGATAATTCACAAAAAAGTTAATGTTCCAATGTTTCAACTTTGCCTAAATAAATAATCATTGGTTGTAACTGTTAGAAAATAAAAATATTTTGCAGTGGTTCAGATTCCAACCATGATGTTTCAGATGGATTACAGAATAGCAGAAGCCACATAAAGCCTTGTATACATGGAGTAAGATTAATTAAACTTCTGATTTAATTAGCCAATGATTCAGAATTTGGGGGCCCCACAGGGCAGTAGCAGATGCACTCTTCCCAGTCTGCTTCCCAGAGTAACACTTGGCTAGATCTCCTGACTTCAGAATCATGATTTTTCTTTAATACACATTTGGTTATTTGCTGCTTTCTAGCATCATCCTGGGCTTTCAGCTTTTCAAACATTCATCTGTTTCTTATTCATTACAACCATAGAGCTCATTCCCTAACTTACCTCAGATCTGCTCAAATATTACCTCCTCAGAAACAGCCCACCTATATAATATTCCTATCCTTTTTAGCTCCTGAATTCTATTTTACTTCTCTTCAAAGTAGGTCACCAAACTATTTGCCTGGGTTTTATTGTTTGTATCCCTGCCTGTTAGAAGGTCAGCTTCCTGAAAGCAACAGTCCTGTCAGCTTTGTTGCTAATAGTGCCCAGGAGATAGTAGTGCCTCAATAAGTATTTGTTTAGTCCATGAACAAGTGGGAAGACAACCATTTGTGCAGAAGAGAATCATCCTATTTTGTATACATTGAAGTTAAGCAGCTTGGAAACATGGGTTAAAAATGGAGAAAGATGTTTAGAAGCTACCCACCCAGGTGTGATAAATGAAGCAAGATGAAACTGTAGGGAGCAGATGTGTTCCTCAAGTAAAATGCACTAAGAAAGAACTAAGTAGAGAAGCTCAGAGATTGTTTTTGAAAGAAGGTATAGGAGAGAATTCACTTAAAAGTATTGGGAAGGGGTGATCAGAGAAAAAAAGAATAAGTCTAAAGCATATAGTTCCAATAGGCAAAAACTGGTCAATTGAGAGGGAAGTCTAGTTAGATGAGGGGTAGATCAAATGTAAGAAGTCACAGAGGACCTGTGAGCGATTAGTCATGGAATGAGGCAGAAATCTGGTTTTGGTACCTTGAGTTATGAAGGGGTGAAGAGGTAGAGATAGGGAGTCAAAATTATCTTTTCATGTCACCTGACCTTTGAGTACATTAAATATTTAATGAATAAATGAGTACATAAATAAATGGATGTTCCCTAAAACCAAGATGGCACATAAATTGTGACTAAGGTAATGGGGTTTCAATGTTTAATAAAAAGGGGGGAGGGCGATAGGGGAAGGAAGGGGAATAGAGTATTGGCACAGGAGGTTGGTGGAGGGTGAGTGAAGCATGTGCACATATGGAGGAGTAAAAATGTAGCCCCAAAGTTATATAGACGTGTAAACAACTGACGAATTCAATTTAAAAATAAAATAAAATTGAGTGGAAAAAAAGAAAATGGTAAAAAAAAAAAAGGGAGAAAAAAATCTCAACAATAATATTGGCTGCATAAAAATATTTCCCTAATCAAAATCAATTTATTGAATGACTTTCCCTCAGTAAATATAGTTTATTCTTGTAACTCATTTTTAAAGTGCTCCTATGACACATTTTGTACTTCATTTTTCATTTTTGTTTAAAATGCATTCCTAGTTAATGGAGCCTTCACGATGTTACCTTGAGTCTCTGTCTCTATCTCAGTAGGTTCTAATCCTTGTATGCTTTGGAACTGAGGGCCTGTGGGCTATGCTCTATTGACTCAGCTACCCAGGGGTGCCTGAAGCAACTCAGATGCTTAAGGAAGTGTGTCCTGAGGTGAATTAATAAATGGCTTAGTTAGAAAGGTTAACAGATTTTAAGAAATTCATGGAAGATGAGAATTTGCTCAGCTTTCCACCAGAGGACCTTCAAAGTGTTACATAATGAATTATATTTGGGGGACTTTAAATGTAAACTTATAATATCTTGTTTTACTGAAACCAGAGAAAATTTATCTTAGTGTATTCTTGGGGCCCTCAAACAAGGGTGTGGATCAAAATCACCAGAAAGATTTGTTAAACTAGATTGCCAGCGCATACTCCCCCAGTTTCTGATTGAAACTGGGACAAGCCCAAATAACTTGTATTTGTAACAAGTTCTCAAGTTAGGTAGAACCACACTTTCAGAACCAATGCTCCATACCCATGCAAGTCATACCATATATTTTCACAACTTCTTAGTTTTCTGTTGCTCTTCAGAGAAAATGAGTCAAATTCTCATTTCAGCTCTACTGTCCTGGCTACTTTATTTCTTTCATGAATAACAAAAAAGAAAAGAAAAAATGAACAAAGTAAGTGGTTGGAGTAATCAAGCCTGAGTAATCAAGTCTTCTGCTCATTTTTAAGTGGAATAAAGATTTTATTTTTGTCAAAAAGATGTTAGTGGCTCTGAAGTAGTAAGAACACAACTAAAATTATATAAACGTGATACAGCTGGCAGTGAAAAATGATCATCTTTCAATTGCAAAACATTCATAAAACAAATTTCTATCCCGATCAAAAGCCACTTAATATTTACATAAAAAAAGAGGGAGGTGTTCATAAAATGGCAGAGAAAAATAACACTCACCGCACTGATCTTTATTTTTCCACTTTTTTATTTTGTTTTTAAGTCAAAGGAAAAAAAAGCATACCTAGAATCTAAAAATCTAAAGGTACATTATAGTGCTTTCATTAAGTTCTTTACCATTAATTTCTTTTTGTTCCTTTGTGTGATGTATTGACAGAGGAGAGACAGAGCATGGCACCAGAGTGGGGCAATACCTGACTGCATGTATCGTCATGCGAGGCTCTAAGTGCACTTCTGCCCTGCTCTACAGTTGAGCAATTCCAAAGAGGTTGGAGCCACGTTGACTGAAACATTTGTAAGAACAAATTAATACTTGAAGAGGTAACAGCTGTAGATTTTTGCTTATCTTCCAGTTCTATAAAGTAAAGATTAAAAATAAAATTAAGGCAGTGTTCAATAAATATTTTTTAATAAAATATATATGGAAAAATACTAGTTTTCTCAGATTTCCATTTTCTGAAGGGCACACTGTTCTATTTATGCTTGAATTGTTCTTTCCTATTCCCAAATAAACAAATTACTAGCTAAGAAAAGCATATTAAACATTAAACAAAATCCAAATGATAAGCAATTTTCTATGTTTTTTACACACATATTATATTGTCTAACCATAAAATGTTTGCAAGGAATGTAAACAATCATACAAAATTCACACAAATATGGCCTCTGTGCTACAGAGATACTAACTTCATCAATTAGCAAACATATATTCAGTTCTCCAGTAGACATCTTGTTTTTGCCTGTCTAGCATTCATTTCCCATTGAAATAGAAATTAATCTTTTTAATATTCTTTGTTAACTATCTACATGTTCATCAAGATCTTCCCTGGCAAGTTATCCAGTACATGATTTAAGTTTTAACACATCAAATATCTTTGATCTTACCTCTCAATGCATAAAATAGACAGTCAAAAATCCTGTTCCCAAACCTAGTACGTGTCCTGACCACTAGTATTTGAAATGATAGCAACTTCAAAAGCTTTATAAACAACTTCTGAAGTCAACACAGCTCTCAGTGAGTTTAATTCATTAATAATGCTACTTAGTTCTATCATGAACCGCTTTGGCCATCATCATCACAATCCACAATAATAGAGCTTTTATTTCTGGGACCTCCCTGGTGGTGCGAGGGATTAAGTTACAGCACTATGAAGCTATCAGCAGCCACTGCAGCATGAGTTCAATCCCTAGCCAGGGTTGTGACCCACATGGCACAGCAGACCTCTCCTGTCTCGCCTGCTGGTCCCATCAGCAGTGTATTTCAGTCAATCCTCCTGTTCTGCTCCCCACTCTGTCTCTGGTGAATCCTCTTACCGCAGGCATCTCTGGCCTGTACCCCAGTTCTTGTATGCATACATAAACAAATCTTTAAAAAAAAAAAGGAGAGAGAAAAAAAATTTTTAAATTAAAAAAATTTAGAGAAAGAGCTTTTATTTCTTTTCAGTTCATTCTTCCACAAAAGAATTTTGAGGTCCCACTTAAAGTTTCAGGCACCTGAACACAGTTTACCAATCCATCCTTGAGCAAGTAATAGCCCTTCAACCTTGATAAATTAGTGGGGAGCAAAATCATATTTCATATCACCTTCCCATCTGCCTCCAATAGTCCGATGAAGGGCTCAAAGAATAGAAGGTGCTATTCTACCAATTAAGTATTTTGGATGAAGGTGGAAATGGTACAGAATCTTTATAAACTTGGCTTCTTTCCTAGAAGGAATTTATCTGATCAATCAGCAAACATTTACTGAATCCCCCAATGGCATGTTGGTTTTGCCCGACCAGCATCCATTTCCCATTCTGCTGGCACCAAAGCCCATCTTTTCCTTTGGGGAACCATCTCTTTAATTCAGTGCATATGTTATGAGAGAGAGAGAAAGATCCCAGCTCCTAGATCAAGACAGAACCATGTAACCCAGACCCAGTGCATGACCAAGACAGTCCAATAATGCCAATGAGCATCAGCCCCAGAGCATTGCCTGGATCCACTGAGAAACAGAAGCTCTCCCTCTACTGCCAGTGGGCACAATTTAAGGAGCTCCAACCTGAGAGCAAAGCCAAGACAAAGTAAATAGAGAAGGCCAGCTTCCAGAATACTGATGATAAATTTGGGTACCTGATCCAACCAAGATGAAATATTCAGCCAGACACATCCCTGAATCTTTTTCATTACTTGAGTTAATGAATTAGGTCTCTAACTTACAATCAAGATTGCTGACAAATTAAGCAACCTAAAACCTGCACCACATTAGTACCAATAACATGGAGATATATAGCAAACAATCCCTGCCTCTAAGAACCTTTTTAGCATAGAAAAGACATAAACACAATAAATAACTAGAAACATAAGGCCAACTTCATGATGTTTCTGTGTACATGGAGAGGTGGGAGATATCTCCATGGCTGCATGTAAGCCAGAATTCACAACATAAGAAATTGGTTAAGCTAGATTTGGAAGGATGACTAGGATGTGGGTGTCTCAAGTAGATGCAATAGGAAGAAAGGTGAACTATGAGAGCAGAAATTTAAGAATGTGCACATTGGATGGTGAACCAATGAACTGTTGGGGGAAATTCTATGGGGACTACACCTGGGTGGGGTGGGGAGCAAACATTATTTAAAAATGAACAATGATGTAAAATATATATAAATAAATAAATTTTAAAAAGAATGTGCACTTTGTATTTGGGAAACAATATAGTATAAATAATAAATAGGCCATAAAACATTGAATGATAGGCTATCAACAACAAATATGTTTGTTTGGGGTAAAAACAAGTCATAAATCATTCTCTAATGACAGGCACATTATGTATAACATTTGAAATTGAGTATGAGGTCACATTGATTAATTAGATATGATGATGGCATGTTCAAACTGTGCTAAAAGAACTAGTGGAGGGCCTCCCTTGGTGGTGCAGGCTATTGAGCGCAGCTCTGTGAAGCAGTCTGCAGCCTCTGCAGTGCCAGTTCAATCCCCACCAGCCGCAGAGTAACCCACATGGCGCAGTAGACCTTTCCTGTCTTGCCCACTGCTCCCCTCAGCAGTGTATTTCTTCAGTCTGCCTGTTCTGTTCCCTGCTCTGTCTCTGGTGAATCCTCTCACCCTCCCCAGCATCTCTCCTGTACCCCAGTTCTTGTATAAATAAATAAATAAATCTTAAATAAAAGAAAAGAAAAGAACTAGTGGAAAAGGGTGTTTTCCCTTGCCTTACAATAGACAACCCTCTCAGCTCAGCTCTACCTACAGATATATATCTGTAATATATATCTCATCTAGAACTAGAGGGAAATTGAAAATTAAGCATGCTAATATAGTTCACTCAGCTCCTGTTTTCAAAAATTCAGAGCAAGTGTAGAGCTAGAAACCAAGAGGAAGATACAGAAAGACAAACACAAACCGAGGAAGCAAGTGGGGTATACAATTCTCTTGTTTGCTTAGTCTAGTTTCTCCATGAGGTGAAAAGTTTATAATCGAAACTATTAAAGGCATTTTCTATTTCCACTGTGGTTTTAGCCATCTCCCTTGTGTCATTAAGAAATTGCATGGGCAGAGTTTGGGTTGGCTCTCATTGCTAGCAGGAATGCACAGAGTCTCTGTCCCTTTCCCCTTCTTGGGGGCATGATTGTTTAGTTAATTAAAATAAAATGTTTTGTTTAACTTTTTAGGAACTTATTTTACTAAAGGCCATTATCAATTTTGTACTGAAAATGGAATTTTACTGGTGATTATTCTCTAACTTAATAATGACTATTCCTGATATAATTCTTGGGGCTATGAATTGTTTCCCGGAAATTTTAATGAGAAAAATGAACTCAACATAATTCCTTGGTAACACGCTCTTCCAAGTAGAGTCATTGTCCTCAGTAATGTTTGCGTGAAAAAAGAAAGTCTTTAATACCTGGTCTCTTGATGGCCATTTAAATTGCTAGTTCCATTTGTGGCAGCATCACAACAGTTTCTACCAGTATGACATACGTCCATGGGAAATAAGCATGTTACAAAAGAATAATAATACACCCTCTTCTAGAGGACATCTCTTCACAAACCTCAATTAACAAAACCTCACGAATCTGTCAAAGATAATTATGGCTTAGGCCTTTGTTTACAGAAAGGAATTCAAACACAGAAAGAAAGAACTTTTTTGTCAAGTCAAATGCAGAGAAGCGAGTTGGTCTATGATTAGGCGTGCTTTTATTTTTGAAAGTATACCTTTTTAGCAAAAAGCTTTAAAAAGTGAAATGCTATACTAAAGTCTAGTTTTGTACTCTATACTATTTACAGTGAAATGCATTATTTCCTAAAGCAATTTAACATATGATTATACCCTTTCCCTTTTTTGAGGAAAAAAATTGATTTCCACTAAGTTTAAATGTGTGTTGTTTACTAAGTTTCATATTTGTTTAATGATGTTTTTTAAAAAATCATTCAACATCATATCCCAGTGACACTCAAGGGCAGATTTTAAAATGTGAGAAATCAAAATTTATTACAACACATTTTTATATCTTCCAGTATAATGTAAGACTTTGAGTAAGTTTCAATATTACATGAAGCACAATAGGGAAAAAAGAATAAGATGGTTTGCTTTTGACTTGGGAAAAGATACAATGCAGGTAAAATGAGCCCCTTCCCTATCTATAAACTCTAAAGCCTGGGATCTGTGAATGTATGTTATCTTACATGGCAAAAGTGACTTTGCAGTTGTGACTAAATTAAGCATCTTGATGTGGAGAGTTTTCCTCAGATTATTCAGCTAGGTCCAAATGTAATGACAGGGAGCACTGACAGTAAAAGACAGCGGCTAAAGAGAGGTATGAATGAAGTGATGTGAGGACTGGATCTGTCAGTGCTGGAATTGAGAATGGAGGAAGGGACCGTGAGCCAAAGTGTGTGGGTGAACTTAAAAAACTGTCAAGAGGGCCTCCCTGGTGACACAAGGGGTTAAGATGCAACCTATGAAGCTCTCCACAACCACTGCAGCACGGATCCCCGGCCGGCCAGGGAGCAACCCACATGGCGCAGCAGACCTCTCCTGACTTGCCCGCTGCTCCCCTCAGCAGTGTGTTTCAGTCAGTCTGCCTGTTCTGTTCCCCAATCTGTCTCTGGTGAATCCTCACACCCTCCACACCTCTCTAGTCTGTACCACAGTTCTTGTATACATGAATAAATAAATCCTTAAAAAAAAAAAAAACTGTCAAGGGCCTCCCCGGTGGCGCAGCGGTTGAGCGCTGGGTTGCGAAGCTGCCCGCAGCCTCTGCGACGCCGGTTCGATCCCTGGCTGCTCCCCGGCCACCGGAGGAGGGTCCCACATGGCCCACAGACCTCTCCTGCCGCCCGCTGCTCCCCTCAGCAGTG